AAGAACATTTTTTCTTTATTCTAAAATAAATACATCTTACTAGACAAAATAGAAAAAAAAAATGTATTTTTGGTAAACCGGACCAGACGATTTGGAATATGGGTCATATACCAAAATCAAATTTTAAGCAAAAAATAAACATCTGCACAACAAAACACATTAAAAACTCTGAAGTGCTTTCTTGGGGTTCTGATTCCAGTAAACAACTAGAATAATTGTTGAAGTTACAGGCTGTTTTCGTTGAATCCTTTTTATCTGTGGTACGGCTGCAACGTTTTTCTGCTTCGTTTGCTCCAGATTTTTTTTCGTTTTTTTGAGACATATTTTCTATTTTTGGATGATTCAGACATTTTTAGCAGTAAAAAAATAAATTAAAGTAACGTGACCCTAATATGGCCCCTGACCCATATTTAAAACCCGTGAAGGGCCCCATATGCCAATATGGCTCTGATATAATAAAAGTGAGGTTGTAACTCAAATTTCTTTAAATAAACCAGAAATAAATTAGAATTATAAAATATTTGAGTATCGCAATCGCACTACACTAAAAAAAGTTAAAATAAACTAACAGAAATCTAAAAATTATACATGTAAACTTTACCTTAATTATTTTTGAAATCGACTAAAATACACACAAACAATCATTTTCTCCTGAGAGCTACCAAATAGTAGATGCTAAAAATTTTAATTTAAGAAAGCACCCATTGTCCACTTTGTGCTACTTAGAAACAGATGATGCTGGCAACTTTATAAATTATCAGTGTGGCCCATATTAAATGCATGGCCCATATTCGGACAAGTTTATCTAATACTTAATCGCAAATTCACTGACAACATTTATTTTTATATAGTCACGTATAGGGTATAGAAGAAAACAAGTAATCGTATGACGTGTAAAATTTAAATTTATGATATAGGGTACTGAGATCTGTTGTTTTATTTCTATGTATTTGTAACAAGATTGTATTACTCACCTCAAATAAGGTAATATGTTATAATTTTTATTTTCGTAACCAGTTACATAATGTTCAACTTTATGTAACTAGTTACATAAAGAAGATCATTTTGACACTTGCTGCAATTACAAAATATGTCACTTTATATGTCAAAATAAAAAAAAAATTATTTGTATCCCTAACCCCAGATCCGATAAAGTGGGAACCACCGATTTAGCGTCCCTCGACGTTGTTTATTAATTTGTTCATAAAAAGCCAAACGACGTTAAAAAGCATAGAAAACGAAGCATTCTTTTTTTGTATGATTTTTCTTCAATTTTAAAATGTCGAGCAATTATCGCGTTGGCTTGTTATGCACCGTTTAATTTTCTTTAATCATAAATTCAGTGCAAAACGTAATAGAATTAAAACTCGAAAGTCGAAAAGTGTTGAAAACGTGATTACCGAACAAGGTGAACGTTGAAAGAAGACGATCGATGCCGGGCCTTTATTATTTGTTAATCACTTTTTTCTAAAGAAAAACTTTACAGTTAAGAGCATTTGGTCTAGATAGAAGAAATATTATTACTTGTATGTGAATGAATTAAACAAGAAAAAGAATTGTTAAGTAAATTGCATTCTTCCAAGAAATTTACGCAAATTTTGTAAGAGTGGATATGTAATGATTTTTTGATTAAATAGCCACATAGTTAAATGCATTTTGAGTGGTCACATTTAGCTCCCTGTAGTCACATTCAGAAATCGTTATTGCCCCAACTGATTGTTTTTAAATATATTTAATTTTCATTAAGCGGAGAACTTGTTTTCCTAAGGGAAAAACGAATCCCGGGATTCCTTTCCAGTATGTGCCTCACTGCCGCTAGTGCCCACGAGCCGCCACTGGATACAATAGCTACAAAAAAAGACCACGAAAAAGCAGCCAGAAAAATTCAAACATATAGAATAGGGTGGAGCGAAAAACTTATTTTCGAATTTGCTAATTTTCAACTAGGTTACTTGAAAATTTTTTGTGATTTTTTAATATTAATTTCTCAATAAGTTCCACGGTTTACTATATATATTTTATTGTATAAAACAAAATCTAAATATTTCAAAAACCTTATTTTTAGTTTTTTTCTACTCCATCTAATCAATAAATAATAGTATAATTCGAGAATTGTTGTTGAGGACTTACTTTCTCGTGAGGCACTGTACAAATACTCACATTTTAAAAAAAAAAAATTCTCAAAAATTTGCCAGGTAAGGTATAGTTAAAAGTTCAGTATTAGATAAATAAGGACTTCAACTATTAGAAAAAAATTAATTTTAGTCATTTTTAACATTTGAGGCGAGAGGTGTGGCAAAAGGACCTCCTTAAGTGGATATGCTCATTTCCATAGACAACTCGTCAATATGGTTCAGCAAGAAACTCCTGTTAACGTCATGTAGATTTTACTGGAGTCATTTCGGGAGAACGAGCAAACCATTCAATTTGGCTGAATTTTTGTTCTAATCTACTTACTATAAATAATCACCAGCATTATCACGGTTCGAAAACTATTACGGTTGCCTCTTCCGGTTGCTAAAGGCAAAAAGGCATGGAGTAACATCACAGATTGAAAAGCCTAAAAGCCTGGTGAAAGAAACAATTCTGCTGTGGTTTGTAAATTCGCTTTTTAAAAAATTTAATATTTTATTATTACTTAGTGTTTATATTTTTATTTTTTGACTACTTTTCAATGTTCGAGTTTTTAAAATATGAGTAATTTGATTTCCATAAAATTTGAACTGAATTACTTTTTACTTAAATTATAAAGAGATATATTATTATATGAATGGTGTATTTTAAACATTTTACGGTTAGAGCATGGAGTGTTGTTCATTTTGAGAAAAAGTAGATTAAAGGCAAATGGTAAGATTATTAAATTAATTGCAGCTTTGCCCACCCTACATTTAAAAGCAGATGAAATGGTTTCTTACAAGCATAAAACACAACCAAGAGCTAGAAAAGTCAAAGGGCTTTACTAAAAAAACGTTAATTATTGGAAAAAGGGTTTGCTACAGAACATTTTTGGTAAAAATGAGTTACAAACAATTTTAAGAAATAAAACAAGGACATGTTGAGCTCTAAAAGAAACAAAATGTTATTAAAAAAAAAACAAATAAAATTCAGTTTTATTATACAGGGTGGCTCACGCTCAACGGGACGGAGCTTTATGGGAAAACGACCAAAGATATAAAAAATTCGTTTGGGAGGAATACGTAGGTTACAGACGGCTACAATTTAAAATTTATTAGATGTATACAGGATGTCCCATATAAGAAAAAAAAATTAGTTCATTAAAAATTATTCAAACAAGAGTAAACAATTAATTTCTGGGAGACTTTTTTTCCTTAAAAATTCAAATAAATCGAAAACTAATAATAATAGTAATAGGGAACCTTTAGTTAACTGACATTATTTTTGATGTAGTTTTTAATTCTAAAATAAAAAACAGGGTGTTCCATTAAAAATAATATAACTTTGTATATTTTCTCTTATGTGGGACATCCTGTATACATCTAACAAATTTTAAATTGTAGCCGTCTATAACCTACGTATTCCTCCCAAACGAATTTTTTATATTTTTGGTCGTTTTCCCATAAAGCTCCGTCCCGTTGAGCGTGAGCCACCCTGTATAATAATCTATAAAAATAGGTATCCAATTACAGAAAAACATTGTTTGATTATGTAAATTTAGAAGAATACCTAACTAAATAAAATAGTGATTATTACATATATGTATTACACTAATTTACAAGCAATTCTATTTTTTGATATAAGCTGATATTTTTTGTAATCGCAGCTAGTGTCAAAATGATCTTTACGCAACCAGTTGCATAATGTTAAACATTATGAAAGTAGGTTCGAAAAATTCATTACGTCACCAGTTGCGAAAAGAAAACAAATAAAAATAAACCTTTTTTTGGTTTTAAAATCATTAATATACATTGTTATTGAAAGTTTATATCAAAGATAGACAGGTTGATTCATAAAAATAGAATTTGATTAAATTTACAACCTAGCAATAATGTTGTTTTGGTCCTTATTTTCCAGTCCAAATCAGCACAAAATAATTAAAAAACAATACACTACAAAATAATCCAATTTTTTGAAAACTAAATAACTTTAATAAATAATATAAACACACTTCAAGTCATTGAGATTAAATAATTAATCGTGTTTCAAATTGTCAATAATAGGATGCATATGCAACTAACAATACAAGAAAGTAATATTGGTCAGTATGTCAGTATTATTTAACCAAAAACAGTTCAGTCAAATTTTAGTCAAAATTAGAAAAAATACTGTATGTAATGCCGTTTTATTAATTCGTTCATGTTGCGGGACCTCGCTCTGCTCCTCCTGCAAATATTCACGTGTTACATAAAATAAGGCATTTCGCAACTGGTTTCATAAATACCTATTTTATGTACATTTAAACATTTGTACATTTCAAAATGTCTGAAAGATTAATGCAGTTGTTAATAATAACTATTTTTAAAAATACAGTTACAATTGAAATTTAATGGAAATCATTTCCTAATTTGTTCTTGCTTTTTTGTAACTTATCTTTCAAACAAATCAAACTACTGATATTTTAAAAACTTGAACACTGGAAAACAGTCAAAAAATAAATATATGGACACTATTAAATAGTAATAAAATACTAGATATTTTAGATATTTTAGACTATTTCATTCTGTGACGTCACATCAACCGGAAGAGGTTCCCCTGGCATTTTATGAACCATGATCCAGGAAACTAATTATCAAAGATTCTGCATACTTTCTTATGAATTAATATTTTATGACCAATTTCAATTAATACTAATATATCAATTATTTTGGGCACCGAAATATTTAGGTTCAAAATATTAAAATCTTAAACTTTCAACGTAATATAACTGCAATTCATTCATACCAATATAACATACTCGAAAAAGTATTATTTCTTACTAAATAACGTAGAATCCTAATTTATACTTTTTTGGTTTGACCTTTTAGTTAGATGACATTGTAATATCACAATTGACTGTTGTGCGGCATACATTGTTATGTAGGTAAGCTACATACCAGAATGGTTTGAATTATTTTCGTTTACAGTTATAAAAATTTTAAAATGTGAGTATTTAGATATTATATTTATTTTTTTATATAAGGAATGTTGAAAAATTAAAAGACTCACTCTTTTCATTTAAAAATTTGAGAGGGGCAGTTACCACCAGGTAGGGATGATCTGAGGAGTAAGTTTGCTATGTCAAACATTCAAAAAATTTAAATTGAAAATTAAAAATAATGTGTTATAATTAATGCATAACGAAAAAGTATGCCATGCCATTGAATTCAACTGAACGAATATATTTCATATCCATTTTACCTAGTAAGAACACTACAAAATAGTAGTGTGTGCAACAAGAGTGGATATGATGGCCATATCGCACAAAGACGAAATCGTCTGAGTGCGGTGTGGACAATCCACTCAAGTTGTACAGTATATTTTTTCTACGACCCACTAACGAAAATTTACAAATACAAAATATTTTAGGTTATTAAGACAAAATAACTAATTTTAAAATAATTTATGAATTTTAATAATTTTTAAAATAAAATAAACGAAAAAAAAAGTTCATTTTATTTTTCCCCATCCGAGAATCGTGTGGAAAGCAAGAATGCTACTCACAGGACCACCTATTCTTTTATGTTTGTTGCGTTAATACTCGTAATGAAATTGACTTCATATAGTTTAATTTAAATTAACAAATTATATATAATTATAGACGAAATAAAAATAGAAATGCTATTATTTATCGATTCTACACAAGAATAACCTATTTTAATGTATGTTTAATCTCAATAACTAAAAAATATACTGACAATTAGTTTGACAGAATTATCACTTATTTAAAATTTTAAAAATAATAGCAGTCGGTTGATCAAAATATGAACGGTGATTGGTGAATTTCATTTTTTTGCAGTGTTCTCACTACCTAGAATGGATATGAAATATATTCGTTCAGCTGAAGGCAATAGCATACTTTTTCGTTTTGTAATCTGTGCGTAGATAAGCTAATATCCACGTGAGTGTGGAAACAAAAATAAATACACATATTAAGTGACTATTCTGTCAAACTAATTGTTAGTATATTTTTTAGTTATTGAGATTAAATATATATTAAAATGAGTTATTCTCGTGTAAAATCGATAAATAATATTATTTCTATTTTTATTTCATCTAAATTTACAAATAAACCATAAATTTAAACTATGTAAAATCAACCTCATTAAGAGTATTAAAAGTAAATTATCTGTGGCGATAGAGCAAAGACTAGGGCATCTGACTTTTATGCGAGAGACCTGGGTTCAAATTTGCATATTTTGGTCATCCGGGTACTATTATTTTTTAAATTTAATATAAGTAACAATTCTATTAAACTAATTGTCAGTATATATTTAAATTATTGAGACTAAATATACGTAAAAATTAGTTATTTTTGTGTATAATCGATAATTAATATCATTTTTATTTTTATTTCATCCATATTTACAAATAAATCATACATTTTAATCAAACTATATAAAACTAATTTAATTACGAGTATTAAAACTAAAATGGTAAGTGTGGCGATGGAGGTGAGAACAGGACGTTTGACTTCCATGCGAGAGGCCCGGGTTCAAATCTGGGCTGGGGACTAATTAAATTAAATCTTTCTTATGTTTATTTTATAAATTAGTCAAAATCATAAATAATTTTAAAATTAGTTATTTTGTCTTAGTAACCTAAAATAATTTTAAAAATTTGTAGATTTTCGTTAGCGAGTCGTAGAAAAAATATATGTACTGTACAACTCGAGTGTATTATCCATATCCACTCTTGTTGCATAAATTACTAAATCCGTTAATTTGGGACCTCCCTATATAAACAAACTATTAAAATAGTTAATTTTGATAACGTTAGTCCACCTACAGTGAAATTATGCCCCACTCTATTACTGGCTATAAATAAAATTTATCAAATAGTGATAACCTTTTACTACAGTACGTTCGTTTCACTTTAACATACATAGAAATTATATCAGTTGATAAGGGATATTTAAGTAAATGCTCTTGAAAAGTACTTCACTTTCACAGTAACCTGTACGAGTGCCGGTAAGTGACGAAAAATGGCTGGGACACCAACGGATTTGCAGACCCTTAGGGATCTGGCTACCAGGATTAGGATACACAGCATCGAAGCTACGACTGCTGCTAATTCAGGGTGAGTTTTAATACGTGATTTTGGTATTTGAAGAGACCTTTATTTTAAGTAACTTAGTTAATTTAAAAATTAATACAGGAAACGAAACCAAACTAGTACTAATCATTGTTAGATACAAAAAATGATGTTTTGCTAACAAATAAAATCTATTTCAAAATGATTCTTTCGAATTGAAATGTGTTGCTATCTGGTAAAAAATTCATAATACACAGTGGTATATTTTCAAGCTAAGTATAATGACTTTTAAAAATTTCTAACTTAAAATGTGACGGTGTATTTCAATTTTACATAGCTGGATTTGTTTCTTTATTTTAATACGGACTTGTGTAATATATACACATATAAAATCGGAAGTCTTTATCCCAATAAACATTTCGTTTATTAAGTAGGGCAACTACATAGTTTCGGAAGTTGACCATCATCAGGTCTAGAAGAAAAACGTGTGTAAAATGGATTAAAGGAATTCAATATAAAAGTTATACAATTATCAGATCAAGATAGTAGAAAGAAATGTAACTAAGATAAGATTAGACACTTTAACAGAAATGGTTGACATTTTTTCTATCTTTTAGGATTTACAGGTCTATGTAACAGGATAAACATAACTATAAATTTTAGTTTTAATTTTATTTTATGCAAGTTTTTAGAGTTTTCTCTTTTGTATGACCTGAAATACATGGTGGTGTTGGGTATTAACATCGTATATGTAAAAAAATGCTCGAACTGATTGATTTAATTTTGGAGGACATCCTACAATCATATCCTCAACTGTCATAAATCATTTCAAAATTTGAATAGGGAAGTACCAAGTTTGGCACATTATTGAAAAGGTACTTTTATGGAGCAATATAACTATTAATCGGGTTACTTTTAATTTTAGTTTTGCAAAGTGTGACACTTCATTTGGAAGCTAATTTTATTATTACTTTTTTTAATGTGGCACCTTGTGGTGCCTCTCATTAGAACTACTCTCGTGAACTAACCATTAATTTTATTCCAAAACAATCTTAAACTAAGTACTTATCAACTATATACAAGTCACTCGCGCATTGTGCTCTGTTTTCACACGTACACAACACACTACACGAGGTCAGGTTTGGTCCTCTTCAATCGTCGAACATGGTTCTGATTGTCCAGCAGCTGAAGAGCTTCTTCATGGGTATGTAGATAAAGTCTGGCTTCAGATTGATCTTGTTTTGAAGTTAAATTCTGAAGCTTCCCCAGTCAGTAGCTTTGTTGGTTAGGTTAGGTCAGGTTTCTCTTTTAATAACTGTTTCACTCAAGGTCAGAATTACAGCTGACTTCAATAAAGTTTGGAAAAACTTTTCTTGAAATAAAGAAATCTAGCAAGTCATGGATATTGTTGGGATCCGTGGGCCAGTAAGTAGGTTTACCTGTAGATTGATAATTCCAATTCTTTTGATGGACAGCTTTTCTTAATTCACAACCTTTAGTCGTAGTTAATCTGGACACCCCTCCGCCCCCCCGACGGAAAACCTCTTTCCAAGATGTTGCAGATGGGTTAGATAGGCTCTTTTCTTAAGATTGTTCCCTGGTGGACAATAGACTGCACCAATATTTAATTTCTGAATTGCAGACCTAATGCCTTGAATATCTAACCGTTGTAATTGGCGTTCTGTAAAATAATTGATTCCTTAATTATAACGGCACTACCACCTTTGGCTTGATTTCCTGGATGAATAGTATGGTGTATTTTATAACCTCTTATCTTAGTATAAGACTGACATGTCATATGTGTCTCAGATATGATATCCTGGGTATTAATGAAGACTTTTGTCATATTTTTTGTTGAGAAGAAGATCTTAAGTCATAAAATGTATTTCTTGGGTATAGCTTCAGTACTTCTGGCTTCTAGTTTGTCGAGTCTGTCATTGACTCGTTCAAGAGATTTTATGATACTCTGTATAAGTTGTAATGCAGTTAAATCTGTCGATGAGGGTTCTATTGGTACATTTTGGGCTATTTTCGAAAAAGATGTCATAGATCTGACTGGGTTTGGATCAATCGTTTTTGATTAGGTAGTAGGTTTCCTGGCTTTAATTAGTAATTTAATGCACAACATAGCAAAACATAATTGAATGTATAAAACATAAACTTAAATAATTGAAAAATAGCAATCAAGTAAAATAACAAATGTATACTACTCATTAAATTACTAATAAATATAATTAGCTTTCAAATGAAGTGTCACACTTTACAATTACAGTTTTTATCGCGCTAGAGAGGGAAAAAATCAATAGTAACGTAGTTTCTTTTTAGTTTTTACACTCTTCGGACTCCCCGTGCTATCACCCTAATCAGTCTATAGCCTGACGGAACTGCAGCCTGTTGCTTATTGTACCACCATTTGAAAATCCTATTATTTCTCATTCACTAATTCACTCCCTCATTCATTCCGTGTTCGTGTCCGAAGAGATCACTGCTTAACTGTTGCGAGTATGTGGATTCACACTAATCTCGCAGCTAGCCTCTCCGGCAAAAGTAACGTAGCAAAAATGATTATATTGCTGAATTATTCATAAAATTACTTTTTCAATGATGTTTTACACTTAGTATTTTCCCTACTTAAATTATATTGGTTAGAGTAAAGAAAGGGAGGGAAATGGTGTACGACAGTTGAGGATATGATAAAAGGATGTCGCCATCTAAACTAAAATCGACCTGTCCGAGCGTTTTTTAACATTAATAACCAAAACTCATGTTAATTTTTCGTTGGGCCACCTTGTATTAGATAAAGCATTATCATTTTATATAAAAAATTATCATTTTTAAGCATGATAAATGATAACAAATAAAATACATTCAACAATATTTTTTTAAATAATTTAATCTTAATTACAAATGCCTATCAGCTTTACAATACGTGGTATATCTGACATTCAAAATCGTAACTCTCAATTGTTATATAATATTATTATCTTTAATTTATGCTCAATATTATAATCTTGAAGTGAGATAATAATTACATGATAATCTTAAATACCATTAAATAATAATCGTTGTATGAAAAACACACCTATGTTAATAAAAATTGAAACAACTTTTATATTTAGATAGGGCTAAACCAAAGTTATATTCAATTGTTTAAAATCTAGGAAGTGATTGAAAATGCAGTTTTAAATAAAATATACTCATATTTTATTACTGTAGAATTGAATTTAATCCAACCATAATAAATTTGTAAATCACAGTCAATATGTTTATAAAATTATAACAGAAACAACCCATAAAAAATTATATGAACATTTCTGTTGAACAATTGGTCATACTGACGATAATCTACTGTATTAAAAAACATGTCATAAATATAGGGCCGATAGAAAAATAATTTACTTAATTTTTTTTTAAATTTCCCATAATTTTGAAATTAATAGGTACATATTTTTTTAACACCGATAAATTATCCATAATCTCAAATGTCATCTCAATTTTTTAAACGAAAGAATGCAACCCAATATCTTCCCCACATATATTAAATGTTTTTAAAACATTTGTTACGTACGGCTAGTTTCAACTCTACAGAGGCAAAAAAAAAAATTAAAAAAATAATGACAATGTAAAATATTGAATGATAATATTGTGTACAATTTGCATGAAACAAAGAAACAACGAAAGAACAAAACAACGAAACAACGAAACGACGAAACGACGAAACGACGAAACGACGAAACGACGAAACGACGAAACGACGAAACGACGAAACGACGAAACGACGAAACGACGAAACGACGAAACGACGAAACGACGGAACGACGAAACGACGAAACGACGAAACGACGAAACGACGAAACGACGAAACGACGAAACGACGAAACGACGAAACGACGAAACGACGAAACGACGAAACGACGAAACGACGAAACGACGAAACGACGAAACGACGGAACGACGAAACGACGAAACGACGAAACGACGAAACGACGAAAGGACGAAACGACGAAACAACGAAACAACGACAATCAAAAATAACAGAAATATACCTTAAAGTAGAAAAACGATCCCCTATAAAATAGCCCAAGTGTTCCGACTATGTCCAAATCAGCTGATTTGCAGAATGGATTAAAGCTTAAGTTTTAAAGCAGGCGTTTTTTGTCAAAGTAACAAAGTAACCCAGAAATACACTCATATACTCACAGACATAATATATCATCGCAAAAATAGTTAAAACGAATTCAATTTACCCTAAAACGTACAGATCCGTCGAAAATTCGAAGTCAAAAAATCATGATTCCTATTCTTTCCAGATTGGTTAGGTACTGAAAAATAAAATAAAATTCATTAACTCACTTTTGCCAGAGCCTCACCGCAGCAGTATGGGGCCCCTTGATTTCCCCTAAAAATGGAGGCCCTGTTTAAAACCAAAATGTCTAAATGTTTGTCAATATTTTTAATAAACGGAATGATAAATACAAAACATTCTGTATTACTTAAGCATTATCATTGATAACAATTTTATTTTCTAGCCATCCCTCCTCCTCATCATCCATCGCCGAAATCATGTCGGTGCTCTTCTTCAGAACGATGCGCTACAAAGTGTCAGCACCCAGAGATCCTTCCAGCGATCGTTTCGTGCTGTCAAAAGGTCACGCAGCTCCCGCTCTGTATGCAGCTTGGGTAGAAAACGGATTAATTCCCGCTGCAGAACTCAAGAAACTCAGGCAGCTAGGAAGTGATCTCGAAGGTCATCCAACTCCAAGGCTCAGCTTCGTTGATGTGGGAACCGGATCTCTCGGTCAAGGATTGGCTGTAGCAGCTGGTATGGCGTACGTAGGAAAATACATTGACCAAGCCAGTTACAGGTAAGGAAAAGTTTTTGATTTACTTCGTATTCATCTAGAGAAAAAGCTTTCTTCATAAATATCTGCGATGAATTGTTTAAATTTTCAGGGTCTACTGTCTGATTGGAGATGGTGAGAGTGCCGAAGGTTCAATCTGGGAATCCATTGCTTTCGCAAGCTTCTACAAACTCGACAATTTAGTCCTCATCATCGATGCTAACCGTCTTGGACAAACCGGAGCCACCATGGTTGCACACAACATGGACTTATATAAAAAGAGAATGGAATCCTTCGATTTTAATACCGTCGTCGTAGATGGTCACGACGTCGGTGTCCTAGTACAAACATTCGAAAATGCAGCCACGGTTAAAGACAAACCTACAGTTGTTATAGCCAAAACTTACAAGGTAATTTTACTTTAATTTTCAACAAATTCTATATTATGTATAGTTCATTTCTGCGATTTTACGTGTACCTTTAATAATATGCGATACATTTACAGAGTTTTATCTTTTTCATATAGAAACGCATTCTACTTCTATGTGTAAACGTATGTTATTAAAAACAAGAAAAATACGGGCATATGTTTAATAGAACCATACACTGAAGGATTTATCTAAACGTCGCATTATTTCAGTGAAGTACGCTTATTTTAAAAATTAATTTTGTCTATTTGACGTTTTTAAATCGAAAAGATATTATATTCTTGGACATTAGGATTAAATACTAATATGTCTGGAAGCGCAATAAGTGGACCAAATAGAGAATTTGGTGAAAAAAAAATAAAACTACGGACCTCTGATATCAAAATCATTAATTATTAACGAGAACTCTCTGTAGTAAGGCGTTGTCGGTTGCATATATTAATACCCTGTATAATTCTATGTTGGTGGAAACGTGTACATCTGGTGCCGCCACAGGTCATGTTTTATGTTTATTTCGTATGTTAAAGTCTGTTCCAACATGATCAGAAACTAGTCACTGACACTAGGATTCTACGCAGCATATAATTTGGCGATCTAAATAATCAACTGCGCAGAATCCTGGTTTCAGTGACCTCTAGTGATTACATAAATGCCATAATCGGTAAAACGCCCTATACTATAAAGAGAGTTCAATCTCTCGTGACTCACTCTGTATATGTATTATTTAAATATTTTGATTATACATTTTTTCCAGGGCAGAGATTTTCCCGATATCGAAGACAAGGATAACTGGCATGGTAAACCACTAGGTGCTCAAAGTGAAAGAGTCCTAACCCACCTTAGATCCTTAATGAAGAACAAAGGTCAACTCAAATACACCATCCCCGCGCCTCTTTCTCAAGTTAAACCAGTAGACATATCGAATATTAAAATGTCTTCGCCTCCCAATTATAAGCAAGGTGAACTTCTAGCGACCAGAGCGTCATACGGAACCGCTCTATCCAAATTGGCCCAATCCAATCCAAGGATACTAGCTCTGGATGGTGATATGAGCAACTCGACATTTTCGGAAGCTATGAAAAAATCTGGCAAGAACTTCATCGAGTGTTACATCGCCGAACAAAATCTTGTCGGTGTGGGAACTGGGGCAGCTTGCAGAGATCGAGCTGTTGTTTTTCTGTCAACTTTCGCATGTTTTCTTACTAGAGCTTTTGACCAGGTAACAGATTTCTACTACTCATTTATTATTAGTGTTAATAATTACTATTATTATTGTCTAGATTCGTATGGGAGCCATCTCACAATCCAACATTAACTTCTGCGGTTCACATTGCGGTGTATCCATCGGAGAAGATGGTCCTAGTCAAATGGCGTTAGAAGACTTAGCCATGTTCAGATCTATTCCAGGCAGCACTGTGTTCTATCCATCCGACGTTGTAGCTGTTGAAAGAGCCGTAGAACTAGCAGCGAACACTAAGGGTATTACATTCATTCGTACAGCCAGAGCTCCGACAGCTGTAATTTATCCAAACGACCAAATTTTCCAGGTAAGACCAAACATCATTCTTTATAGTTGTAGTGATCTATGTATTAATGAATTATCTTTTTTCAGATTGGTAAAGCAAACGTTGTTTTCTCTACAAACAGCGACCAAGTTCTTGTAATAGCTGCAGGTGTAACTCTTCACGAAACGATGCTAGCAGCAAAAGAACTGGCTAAGTCTGGAGTAGGCATCAGAGTTATGGATCCGTTTACCATCAAACCCATCGACAAGTTCAGTATCATTCAAAACGCACAAGCAGTCGGCGGAAGAATATTGGTAATCGAAGACCATTATCCAGAAGGTGGAATGGGTGAAGCTGTACTGTCAGCTGTGGCTGAGGAAAGAAACATCTACGTCAAGCATATCGCTATTCCTAGGGTACCTAGATCTGGCAAACCCGCTGATTTGTTGAATTATTATAAAATAGATGCTACTAATATTATCGGGCACATACAGGAAGTGCTCAAAAAGTAATAGTTTAGTTATATTAAATAAAATATTGTTAGTAACAGAGTAGTTTTATTTACAAGGTGATACAATTAAAAAATAATAATAAAAAATCTCATGGTGGACGAATTACTTAATCATTTTAATATAATCTTCGTAATGATCCGAATGCGTTGTTCTTCTAAATCGTTTCTCTATTAAAATTTTAAATACATGAATAATATGACAATTTCTAGATGGCTTATCTCTAGTCGCCCAGATGTGGGATCCCTTTTCCACTCTCTAACGTTTAATATGTGTGTTGTGTTTTTTATCGTTTTGGCTTTAATAAAAAGGCCCACTAGATCTAAAAGCATAATTATATATAATTTTCGACGAAGGATGTTATCAATGCTTTGAATCGATTTGATTTCGGGTTTGGGTATTTTCTACTTATACTTATGCATTTTTTTATTGATCGATCGCGATGACTGACGTTTCTAAGAAAGTCGACCAACTGAGTAGTGGACCTATTGCAGGCCAATCGATTTTATTATAACTTCTAATAGATTTATTATAGGATCACACATAATTGAAGTAGAATTTAATTTACAGGTAATAATGAATATTTTTTTAATTTTGATAGTTAAAGTGACTTCAGTTTTGAAAGGTCTTAGTTTTCGAGATTTATTGTGGTACAATAGAGTACAACTTTTTTTAATTTTTTGGTCATTATAATTCACTTTCACAAAACCCTTTAACAAAAAACTAGTAAATAATAATAATCCAAAAAGAATAATAAAAACACAAAATCTGTACCACATGTATATTTTATAATTAAGTTGTGGAGCGACTAGTTTCAACCATCAGGCCATCCTCAGGCCTACAATACAAATGAATTTGTGTACACGGAGAAAACAGATTATATTCAAAACAAATTACTTACATATATATCTAGATGTGAAATAATTACAAACATAATCTACAACAGAATGTTGGTATTGGACTCAGATTTAATATTATGGGTTTTAAATCATAAACGACGTAGGTATATGAATTAAATGTAAAAATATGTGTTAAACATAAGTAGCAACTATTTTAACAATATCAAATAACGAAGAAAAACGAACAATATAATAGGGGGGTTGAAATTAAAGGCAAGTGAAAGTATAGGTTCTTATATGGTGGTAATAAAAATCTAGGATATGGGTTAAGTCGGAGGTAGGAGATCCAAGATGAAAAATTATATGGTGAAAGCTTAGGATTTATAAGTAGGCACTAAATAATTTGTCGGTTTTGGTAACAATAAAAAATGTGGGAATTACGTAGTTAAAGGTATCCAAATAAATGTATAGCCCCTGGATTGAGTAGTGGCAAAGAAAATATATATACCATACCATAAAAACTTAAATGTTTTCTCATTCAATAATAATGATAAAAATTTATTTAGTAAAAAAATACAAAATACAAATTTTTGAATACAGGTTTGAAGTTATTTTGATATTTAAAGACATTTCAATTAATAGACAACCAAACTGAAAATTACAGATAAACTCTTGATAAACATTGGCATTGACACATGTCACATGTAACAATAAGGTTAGGTCTGCTACGTTAATAAACAGTGACACATGAAATTTCAACCAAGTATTTGATGAGCATATAGACCTTTTTCTCTCTAATAATTCCATTTAGTTTCTTTAATTTGCCTTAAATCTTCTACATTCTTATTTCTAGTCAAAGTCTTACGACTGCAGGTCAGTATAGAAAGGTGTAGAAAAGAATGTTATTTTTTCCTCAACTATAATTTCCTTTACGTAGCATCCGGGGGATGAAAAAGTTGGTAGTCGCATCGATTTCTGAGGAATTATGTTGTAATTTCCTTATCCGCATCGGAAAAATGAATGATGTGAACTCAACACGAACTTATTATTGAAAGCGCAATTTGACAAGCAATTTGTTTTAGTTTACTCTTATTTCGATCGCGTTTCCAGAATCTAACGAAATTTCGTTGTTATTTTGATGAATTAACCGATACAACGGCAATCATTTATCAACCGGAAAAAATACAGCATACAGGTTGTCTTCTTGTAAACGAATATAGTAGGGAGGTAGATATATGTAACCTTATCAAGATCACTTTTTGGCTATTAATTCTAAGTACATTAGAATTACTATAATTTACCAACTAATACACTAGTTTTCCACATTCGGATGTACCTACATATTATGTAATGTTCATGATTTGTAAAATAAGACAGTGGCACAATAGTATTATTGCAATCCGAACGGGAAAGTACTCTATTACAGCCGAGTGTCAATGTAGACGCGAGGCTAGAATGAGTTCCCTCATTTAGGTATAGAGGAGAATAGCAAAATATGGAATATGTTCCTAAAATGAAATACCATTAAATTACTTTAACTAGCTTTGGCAACGCCGCGCAAATTGCATACAAACGTAGTGCAGGATATCATATTTTTTCCCAAATAGACCAGTGAACGCTAAATTCAACGTACGTAGAATTTTTTCTGATTTTTTCGTTAAATTGAATATTTTGTATGTGTGTATTAATAATATTAGTGCACAAGGGGACAATCAACTACCAACTTTTTATAATGTGTGAATCTGTTAACAAAAATAAAAATGGCGATGTACCTATAGGTATACATATATTATAATATGGAATCGTGTGGTTTCCGCAATTTGAAATCAACAAGTAAAGGATTGTCACCTGTTTCTATCTCAATAGAAAGACGTCAAGTAAACAGTGGATACACTACAAGAAATATTTAGGGTGGTGCCATGTTGGCTGTTTAAGAGCAGAAAATATATTTTTGTACAAATTGTGTAAAGGAGGTAAAATACGTTCTCTTGATATTTTATGCTGGATGATTTTGTTTTCTCATGTAGCATAAAGTATTAAAATATTTTTGTAAGGGTCCTGTTTTATTTATCCTGGAAGCATATGGTCCATATTCGGGACATATTCCGTATTAGGTACAAAATTACAATTTTCTATAAAATATTTTTCCTTAACTCCTGTATAATAGATTTGTTATTATGAATAATAAATTATGATTTTCAAAGTGTAAAAAACCTAATAAAAACAACGGGTGTTGAGAAGACATTCTGAATTTATTATGTATAAAAACAAAACGGCATTTCATAATTCTCCTATTAATAATTTTATCTAAGTTTCAGATAATAATATTAATTATTATATCATAATTTAATTTAAAAAATTGATACCTGTGGGACCGTTGCTAGGAAATATAACAAGTTGAATCTAACAGATAATTATTTTGAATTACCCTTTTAATAATAAAATTGTGTTTATATACTTATAAATATGTCCGACAGTTAACTCAAATGAACCCCACCAAAACTACGAGTAGCTGCAGAAAAGGCTACCTAATACAATATTACGGAAAAATGCAGGGATAGATACGAAAACACTTACGAAGCAGGGCTGTAGATAGAGGGAGGCTTTTTTATTAGTTCTTCAACCAGCAACGACCTTTATTTTGCACAATGAGAAACGTAAGGCACAGTAGACCTTTTTTTTAGCTCCTTAAGTGCTACATATTACTTTTAAAATTAGCATTTTTGCAGACTGAAAATTCTGTACATATGATCACACTAAATTAAACGAGACTCATGGTTCAACCTCGTAAGGTGGAGGGGGCCATGGTCCCATGAGACTCACCACGAAACGCTTTTAATCTCGGGGGGATATTCTCCCTGTCCTCCCACCCTGGAGCCGTTCTTGGTGTAACTGACAACTAGGTTATAAGTAAGTTAAGGTATTTAACAGGAAAAGAATACGTCCTTTAAAGAACTTTTTCTACCCCTATACTTAAACGCTAATTTTCAGTTTCATAATGATATAACACTGGTTTTCATTATGAAACTGAAAATAAAATTCTCCATTCAATTGATAATACAAACAATGAAATTCATATTAATTTGCCTTCTTCATCTACGAGTACAAATTCGTTTGGGACTAAAGATGGTACACTTCAAGTACTTGTTAATAATTTTATTATTTAAAATTTGTATTCAAACAAAATTGATTAAAATGTAATTTACAATTTATCTTGTTTAATGTAACATATGAATTCGTTTATGTTTATTGTTAATAGTTAAATTAAGATAATAGTTATTATATTGGTTATTGTGTAGGAATAAAAATTAAGTCGAAGCAGTCATTTTTCTTTCATATTTTATTTCTTATTATTTGTATAAAAAAGTATTAAAAAATAAAGCAATATTGTTGAATTGAAATAGTTTCTTGGTCGTAGAAAAAATAGTGTATGCAACTCTCATGTAATGGCTATTAATACGTGATCGTTGCATAATATACTATTGTGAGATTACCATTGCATTGTGAAAATAACATGATAGATAACATTGTGATTTCTTTTCTTTTAAAATCAATTTTACTCAAATATAATGGGATGAATAATTTCCAACCTGACCTATAGTGGGCTTAGTAAGCTATATTATTTTGATCATTTATTAATTAGGCATTCCAACGACCTGTCAAACAATAGCCGCCAGTGGAGAAGGCTCGTATATCTGAAGGGGTTGCGACATGGTCTTTCATCTTGGACGCTATTTTTATTCAAAATAGTAGTCGCCAAGCCTGCCAATTTAAGAAAAAAGTATAAGCGATTTTTTTAAATAAATTTTTTATTGTTTTGGACATAAAATATTTAAATGTGCCATTATATATGATTTCACGTATTGTAGATAGAATACATCGTATTTTGCAATCCCTTAGATATACCAACTCTTTCCACCGACAGTTATTTTGTTTGGAATGCCTCATTGTTTATTCAGTGTCTGTCATATGTCATTAGTTTTTCTATAAAATATGGTTTGTATTGTAACCAGTGATTTGTTTGTTTTTGACAGCCCGCTATACTAAGTTCTAAATTTTTTGAAAAATGGAGAAACACGAAGCTGTCAAAAAATATTTTTAAGAGCAATATCAAATGAAGTGAGAATTTTTAGAGGACATAAATTATGGAAATTTTTAAAGAAA